ACACACACACACACACACACCCACACACACACACGGGCCTAGTCTTGATCAAAACATTTTTTATTGGCTTGCTCTAACTTTACCGCACCCACCCCACCACTAACGTTGACGACCCCCCGTTGAAGGGCAGGGGAGGCTGGTAGTGATTGGCCGATACCACAATTTAGGTCTCGATGTCGATACCTAGTACTTTTTCAAGGTATCGATACCGATACCTCGATACCTAATGCTATTGGTAACATACGGCCGGGGGTAATAAGTAAGGACAAAAATACAACTATACTTTTCCAAGTATTTAGGTAATCGTGTCTAGACAAGTTGTGACTATTTAGCTGACACTCAAACAAAAATTATTTGTAAAAAAAAAAAGAGAGAGAGAGAGAGAGAGAGAGAGAGAGAGAGAGAGAGAGAGAGAGAGAAATACATACCGAAATATGAGAATAAAAACAAAAATTAAGTGAAGTATGGGAGGAAAGTCAACTTTGCAGAAAATGTTAGTATTGGAAAATAAAAACACAAGAGTTCTAAAAAGGCAATTCAATTTACCAGATTTTTAGCAACTTTAAATTAAACCAATGAGGATAAATCAGGGTTGTCAGTGAAGATTTTGCAAAATCACTAGATACATTTCATGCAAAACTTCTCTTTTTGTTAAAAAATCACTAGATTAATTTAAAACGCTTGCCCCCTACGAAAACTTATCAGTTTTGATAAACAAAAAATTCTCAAGGCCCAAGCCACTTGCTTTGGCAGCCCTGGGATAAATAACACATAGGTATCGATGTTTAGAGCAGGTATCGGTACCGATACCAATACCTATAGGTATCTAAGTATCGAGTACCTGGTATCGATACCTGACCATCACTAGAGGCTGGTCTTGATCAACCGAGAGTCGAGAGTCACGAGCGACTGGTAGGTGAGGGTAAAAGCGTCGATCTTGGGCTCACAGTCGACTAGTCAACTAGATCTAGTAAAGTCGATTTTGCCCTGGCCTAATGTAGCGTCTTTATCTTTCTTCCTTTTTTGTGTTCGTTACTTTCTTAAAACGCCGCTAATCTCCGGTACTTCTATGACCTTATTGTGTTGCAAGGGCCGTAAAATGCGTACTAAATTTTCTTTAGAGACTCCCCCTTCCCCATTGGGTGGTTGGCAGATACTCTGGTGTGGTTTGCTCCCCCTTTCCTATCAAACATCTATCGTCCTGATCTCTCATCCTTCTTTGTGTGTTTGTTACTCTCTAGTAACACCTCTAATATTTGGCACTTATATGACCTTATTGTGTTGAAAGTGCCGTAGAACGCTTACTAAACTAGACATATCTCTCCCCCCCCCCCCAGTCCTACCCCGGCCCAGCAACTACCTCCGTTTTACGCTAAGTCCAGACCCACAGGGGGTCAAGCTTCTCAGCAGCTCGTGTGCTTTTATACAGGTATGAACTCATGAATCATTCTACGACAAAGGAGATTGTCTCCTTTTCATTTGATTAATCAGTTTTAGGCATAAATGAATGAATAATTAAAAATAAATAAGTAAAAATATAGATAAAAATAACAGCAACAACCACAACAACAACAACAACAACATCAATAACAACAAAAACAACAACAACGACAATAAAAACAACAGCAGCAGCAACAACAACAAAAACAACACAACAACAACAATAAAACAACAACAACAACAACAACAATAACAACAACAAAAGCAACAAAAATTACAACAATAAAAAAACAACAACAACAGCAACAGCAACAACAACAACAACAACAACTACTACTACTACTACTACTACTACTACTACTACTACTACTACTACTACTACTACTACTACTTAACTACTACTACTACTACTACTACTACTACTACTACTACTACTACTACTACTACTACTACTACTACTACTACTATTTAACTACTACTACTACTACTACTACTACTACTACTACTACTACTACTACTACTACTACTACTACTACTACTACTATAAT